CCATTGATTGGTTTTCAGCCACCCCAATCATTTTATGAAACTATACATTTAAGCTAGATAAAAACTAGAAAGTCTAGTTTTCTCAAATAATCAGCGCCGCTGGTTGACATATTTGTGGCGGTGGACATGTTGGATTTTGACGTGGCAACCCAATTTTTAATAGCGACATTTCTTACGCCTAGATGAAGACACACACCAAAAAGTAAGTAGGTATCTCACTTATTCATCAAATAATCAGGTCACAAGACGCACAGAGGGTATTTCCAAAAGACAAAGACCCACTGAATGAGTGTCAGCCTTGATATGGTAGTGTTTGACAATCATGAATGAATGAATGAATGAATGAATGAATGAATGAATGAATGAATGTAGAGGTCGAGGCTGAACGGCTTTGTGGTTCCATGTTCTTGCTATAATATGGTGGTGAAAAGTCATTAAGTCACTTCACCACCCCTCCTCTTCCTTTTACTCACCCCCTTATTTTTTGTTTTATTGTCCAACTTWACTGAACCGTCTACACAATTAGAACATCATTTAACCTATGATGAAACAACCTTTAAATAAAGTTAAAATGGTCCTTGGTTATCAAATATTTACTCTACTGCTACGACTGAAGCCAACAATTGCCTGTCAAGATGGCGGCAATGAAGAAAGAATGAATGAGGACCATTTACATGAAAAAAATGGATATTTTCTTGGCCTGAAAGACTTAAATTCACAAAAAATAAAATTCCATGATTTAGGTTTCACAATTATTGGGGAAAAGAATATTACTGAAATTGTAAATTTGTAAGAAAAAAAGGTGAAACTTCTTTTAAATCTGAAGTCATTCATTAACTGATAGGACAGGATACACTCTAAGGCAAATCCACAAAAATTGTTTCTGGTCAACAAACAGGGAAAAAAGCCAGGACTTACCTCGCTAAGGTAGATGAAGAAGGAGCAGGTGGAGCCGTCCACACCATAGCTGGAATAGCAGGAGTCTGAGCGCCACATCTCCTTCATCCACTGAAGAAGAGGAGGAGAAAACAAGATTACCACCTGAAGATAGGGAGCTAATCTAGACAAATGATTAAAACCTGTATTTTTTGTTATCTTGTGGGGGAAATTCACTTTCTAGTGACAGTTCAGATAATTTGAAGTGAACAGTTAACCCTCCTGCAGCCCACAAGTCAAAAGGACCCACCAGGCCTAAGCATTTAATAAAATTTAATAAAATTTACAAAAGTAAAATGTTCGTACAGCATCTTTTGCATGAACTACAAGAAACATTCATGACTGGATTCACTTTAAAGACGGCAGAAACTCATTGTGTTCTTTGCCTCGCTCCAACTATCCATTAACATTCTGGGTAAACAATATTCACCGACTGCTCTGGTTTGAGCTCTGTCCAGCTTAAACGTTCATTTTGGACAATATCTGACATTCAGCTCTTTTAAATGAAACAGGAATGTGTCAATAGAGATGAGAATGTAGAAATGACTCGGTCTGACAATGAAAATGAGGAAGAAGGACAACAGAGCTGCTTCATGGAAGGGGAAACTCAACTTTAGCCTTCTAGCTTTGGCGTTAGCTCACAAGCTATTTTTCGATATATGGTGTTAGCACCAGAGCTAACTTACTAAAATATCATGTTTTATCATTTCAACCCATTGTGCAGAATATAGAAACTAATACAAAATATAACTTTGTCACACACATTAGCTTTTTAGGCTTGACTCTGTGTTTTAGTCTCAACTGAAATGCATCATCATCATCATTATTCCCACATTGCATCAGTAACAAAATAATGTTGAGGCGCATCAGTGAAAATTTGAATAAACATATGCAATTATTTAAGTAATTAGGAGTTTTCATGTGTGGTGGCACAGTGGCTCAGTTGGTAGAGCTGATGCCAGATCAAATCCTGGCCTGAGCACCTCTCTGGGTAGAGTTTGCATGTTTTCTCCAGGCACTCCAGCTTCCTCCCACAGACCAAACACATGACTGTTAGGTTAACTGATAACTCTAAATTGTCCCTAGGTGTAAGTGAGAGAGTGAATGATTGTTTGTCTCTAYATGTGGCCCTGATGGACTTGCTGTCCAGGGTGTACCCCRMYCCTTTGCACTGTGACTGCTGGATATGGGCATTAGTGACCCTGAAAGGAAGAAGTGGGTATAGATAATGGATGGATGGAGTTTTCATGCATCACAAAACATTTAAGAGCAACACGTGACCGTAGTTGGAAAGCCCATTAAGAATAACTGAGCTTCTCTGCTCAACATGTTTTACAAATAAAAAAATAATAAAAGTTAATAAAGTGTATGAACAGACTGTGGCTCTGGTGTCGATTCACTCCAACTGTCCCGTTTAACTCGACACTCGAACCGAGACTTGGCACAGTGTCCTACACAGAGTCATTTAAACGGCACRCAGACTGTCGCATTTGTCTGAAACTAAAAGAGGGGAAGATTGATTTGTCAGATGTTGGAACGTGAACACAGAGAACAGAACAGCTGTGGAGTCTCAGTCCAGGCTGGCGTGCAGCAGTGATTGTGGAGCGTTTTGGCTTCGAGTTCCTTTGGAAATGCTGTGGCTGAGCAGATGGTGTGTAGGTCGAGGTCCCGCCACCCCATCGGTTTCAGGGGCACTGGTACTGAACAAAGAAAACTGAGGCAATGCTCTGAAAACACGAGTTCATATTGGAAAATAAAATTGTTAAAAGTCAAGCAATAATTAGGGATGTGTTTCATAAACAAGCACAGATGATTCATCAAATAATTAGATTAAAACATGTTTACTGTCGGGATAAAATAAAGACCGTCCACTCTRTCAGTGCTACGGTTTACTTATCGAGAATCCTCGTCTGGACTGGGTTTTAAACTGAATTAACTGGACAAAAACACACAGCAGATGGGTCAATGTCTAATTAAAAATATAAATAAAGCCAAAACAGAACCGTGAAGTCTGATCCAGCAGCTTGTAGAGCCTCCTTCAGCAGCTCCAACTCTCAGGAATTGTTATTATTTGTTATTAAGTCAGTTTTGTTGCTTAGGTTCCTCAAAGTGGAACTAACCTAAATAAACCATTTCTGCTGAATAAGTTATGATCGCGTTTTCACTTTTCTAGCCGCCAGTGTCTCTCTTACCTGCTCACAAACAAACATGTATTTACAGCTTAGGTGACCAGTGATTTTTTTTCATCTCCCTCTCTGCCCCATCTTCCTCTTTGGTTGACTGTCTCGCCTGCAAGCGGGCGTGTGGTGTGTCTGTGTGTGTGTGGGTTTGTTCCTAGTGACATTTGGGGGCAATTTTAAGACAAAATGCCTACATTTGGGGACAAAAGTCGAGTCACCATTTGGTTTAAATACCATTGGTGGGTTGGGGGTTGGGTTTAGGACCAAGGTGTGAATT